GTATAAGAGTATAATAGTATATTTAGTAGAATAATATAATATTACTAGAGGTTAAGAAAGAAGTATAATTCTTAGATTAAATACTAAAGTTCTATATAAAGTTAAATATACTAAGCTATAAGAGTTTAGTGCCTAAGCTATATACTTAATAAGTATTACGCTTATAGATAAGTATATAAGTAATTATAAATAAGTAGTAATATATCTTACTAGTTATTAGCCTAACTACTTATACTTATAGATAAGCGCTTATATAGAAATAGCGCTATTCTACTTATAGATAAGTAGTTACGTAACTATAGCGTAGTTTTTATACTATACTTCTATAACTATACTATATAATTCTTTAAAGTAATTATACTAATCTCTAGAGTATCTTTTAGATTAGATTATAATAGATTAATATACTACTTATATACTTAGAAAAACTTCTAAAAGAATTTCTTAAATCTAAGAACTTTTTTAAAGAATTTAAAAAGTTTAATAAATACTAGAATCTTCTAGAGAAACTTAAGAAGATAGACTATAATAGTAAGAAGATATATAAATAAACTATAGACGCTATAGTATTATAGAAAGACTAATCTATATATTATCTTTTTAATATAAAGTAAGAGAAAGCTAAAATAGTACTTTTAAAGTTAAAGAAGTAACTTATAGATAGACGCTCTACTAAAGTTAAGTACTAGATAGATTATAGAAATATCTTATATAATAAATTTTAATAGATAATCTATATTATAAACTTCTATCTAATTTACTATAGTAATAAAAATAGAGTAAAATAGAACTCTAGACTAAATAAGATAATACTAAGTTATAAATAGTCTTAGTTTAAATATACTATAGATAAGTGTTTAGTATATCTATAGAATAAGTAAACTACTTTTTATTTTTCTAGATATATTAACTTATAAAAGATTTTCTAAATATAGATAGTATTTTAGAAAAATATTAGAAAATAATAAGTATAAAAGTATAACTAAGATAACTAGTATCTCTACTTATACTCTAACTATAATAAATATATAATTACTAAAACTTTCTATAGATTTAGTGTAAAGCCTAAGGCCTAATAGAGCTTAGTAGAACCTACTAGAGCTTATTAAGCTTAGATCTTACTATCTATATATATATTATCTTAGACTAAGAATACTATCTTAGTTATTCTTACCTTTTTAGGTTGTATTAGTCTAGTAGTCTAAGACTAGATTCTTATAGATAGCACGTAGAGAAAGACTATAAATATAATTAGTATTAGAACTAGTACTATTTTAGTATAGTTACTAACTTTAATATAGCTTTATAATCTTCTATTTATTTTATACTATATTTTCTCTATATAAGAATATTCTTACTTACACTAATCTAGAAAACTATAAAAATAATATATAATTACTTAAAGATATTAGAGTTATAATAGTATAGACTTATATACTCTAGTAGAACTTTATATCTTTTATAAAGATAATTAATACTCTAAATAAAGTATTAAAAAGTATATAAGATAAAAGATATAGAGAATAATTAGTAACTAGACCTAGCTATAGAATATTCTTACTAGAGTAGAGAATAAAGCTACTAGTATTAAATTTTAATATCTTTTAGAGTTTAGTTATAAATAAACTACTCTAGTTTAATACTATAGCTTTTCTATTACTATCTAATTTTCTAATAACCTTTAATAGAGGCTTTTATCTACTTAGACTTATTAAAGCTTTAGATAATAACTTCTAGAACTATAACTAGTATAATAACTAGTAGAATCTAAGTAGTAGCACTAATAAAAGGTTTACTAGTATTTCTAAAATATAGCTATATCTTAGATATTTACCTAGTTATAGTAGTAGAAACTAACTTTATATAGTAGAAAGATTTAGTAAGTATAGTTTATATTACTAACACTAAATACTACCTAAAGTAGTAGATTAACTACTTTAGTTAGTTCTATTCGCTAGTTCTTATTAGCGTATACCTTATAGAATAGTACTTTCTATCTAGAATAGACGTTAGTATTAATATATAGGCTATTTACAATAATAGAGATATTTCTAGTATTAACGCCTTATTATTCTATTCTAAGTATTTACTTACTAAGCATGCTAAGAAGCGCGCAGCTATAGATTATAACCTTCTATTCTTTAGTATAGTAATAATAACGTAGTAAAGAAAATAGATTAGCGTAAATATAGAGTAGCTTAAATAGCGTAAATTTAGCTAGAGTAACGTAAGCTTTATTTTCTTAGCATCGCGAAGATCTGCAGAGCGCTTAGCGCTCTAATATAATTTTCTTATTTAAAGAGGATAATTGTATAGACTATATTATATTGTGTTAGGGTTTTATGTCTGTGCTAATAATGCGTAAAGGGAGTTAATTAGGCTAACGGATTTCGCTTGCCCCTGTCGTACAATAATTTAGTAGCTAATCGGTGATTTGTTGTCGTTGTCGCGACTATATCGCGCGTGCTTTTATTTCTGCTCTTTCTTTCTCCTCTTCCCTTTTCATAATCTGCAAAAATGCCAACCTAAAACACTATTAACTAGAGCGGTAACAGCGCTACGAATCGCCGCATTAGGCTTGCTGAACTTGGCTGGCATATTAGTGTTCTGGAGCCTCCTTTCTCGCCTAATTGACCAGACGATATCAAGGTAAATGGCCGTAGGAATTAGTTAGTGGTGCCAAGAAATTTTGTCGGGTTCGGTGGTGGAATTACAGTACTAACTTATTGGTGGGCTGGGTTGTCCTTTGTAACGAACGCTGAGATAGAACCACTCTCCAACCCTCCTCAATGTCCGATTAGTCTTAGCGATTCTAGCGAGAGAGTAAATGAGAACCAACATGTCCCACCCCTCCTCTCACGGGCATATCATCCCAATCTCATGTTCTCCCCGGCAATGTCGGCGGCTTAGTCTACACGCAAAGAATCCAAACGCTTCAACCCTCCTTCCTTACCAGCTCGCGCGTGTGCACAGGAACAATAGGTAGTGTAGGCAGATGGAAATTGTGTCTGCTAGATTAACGTGCTTGATTTGTAGGTCGCGTTGCGCCTGCGACAAATCGGTCCGCGCTTGCCCGCGCGCCGCGGGGCGCGCAGACTTTTCATCCCAAACAATCAAATCTCACAGCTCCACTCTTCTCTCCACAAACACGAGAAGACTTCGACTGCGCATCATCCAGGCCACTCAACGCATGTTTGATCTAAGCAGCGGCTGAGAGAAGGCTATGCTACCAAGCGATTCCGCTGACCGCGCACTTGGTAGTATGGATTCTGTGCAGTGCACCCGGCCTGTGTACCTCAGCCCTGTCGCGCTCGCTACAACAACAAGCCTCGACGTCTCGGGCCACCACCCGTAGCGTCCTCCCTACGATACAGTCATCATCCCAGCACGGCTTATTCGTCATCTTGGAGCTGTGCAAAGATTTCACATCATGACGTCACTTGCAGTTGTGAGTGCTGAACAACAATATCGATTATCGTACCTTTTCTGACATTAGGAAGTGTGATACCTGCAGGGCAAGGAAGGTTGGTAGTGCCGGCAAGCTCCAACAAACAGCGATCTGACTCATTTACCAGGTCAAATGTGATCGAGACGATCCCTGTGGGAATTGTGTTGACTGTAATATACAATGCATTCGCACAGCGCGTGCAGGACGAAGCACATCGAAGCGAAGAAGAGGCGCCGAGGCAGCTGCGACGCCACAGAGTGTGCAGGGCCTAGGACTTCAGACACATTTTACACCATCACCGCCTAGGTCGACCGGTGTACCTCAGTCGCCCTCGGTCATAGAAGCACATGACTTCATCAAACGAGAGATCACATCGGGCAAGCCTATGCCTGCCGATCGACTGGCTGTTCTGAACTCAGCTATGTCATTTGTCACTCATCTCAGCCAAACCACGAAACACGAAAATACAGTTGCCGCGAGAGATACACAAGTTCTGGGCATCCTTGAAGTTATCAGCGCCCCTTCCGTTGAGCTGCTGTACTGGATGCTGCGCGGTAGGGCGTCCTTCACGCATGAACGCTTGGTGCTAATGTGATCATCAGAGCTCAGAGGAAGCAGCATTGGACCGCATGTGTTGGATTACTTCAAGCATGTCTCTCCAACATCCTTGAAGACCATGGGCTCGGCCCTCATCACTCGAACAGGTGACGCCGCAACGCTTTTGCTCTATTCGATATGTGTCAACTCCGCAGCCTACAAGTTCATTAATACCGTCTTGTCAGAAGGCGATATAGGTAGCATCGAAGATGGCATGCGCAACGAGGCGGCAAGATACCTCCACAGTGTCCAGCTCGCCATGACCCGAATTCATCTACTTTCAGCTCCTTCACTGCTTCTGTTGCAGTCCTTGCTTAGCAGCGTAAGTGATCTAGACTTTGAGGCCAGTGCAGTTGATCTGCAATAGTTGACGAGTAGCAGGCTTTCATCGCTCAAGGACAGGGTGACTCGGTGCATTGCTGGGCGTTTATCTCTGCTGCCTGTAAAACCTGCGAGGACCTCAACCTTGAGACTCAAGTCAACGCATGTCAAACAGAGACGGAAGACGACTTAGAGCTGTACTACTGCTATGTTTGGTGCCACATTCTGGACAAGAATTATTCCATGATGCTTGGTCGAACACGTTGTCTCCTCAATCACGAAGGTCTAGACTCGGTGTTCTCATCACCACTGAACAGGTCCTTGTCCGCACTGCTTTCGACCTATCTGCACTTCGTGCCTGTCCAAGCCATCTTCATTTTGGAACTGCACCCGTTCAAGATTTCAAACAAGAAAGCGCTACTTTCGCGTGTCGAGTATATGGTAGCCAACCTCTTAGATCGCCTGAAACGCGTGCACGCACGAATAAGCGAGGTATGAGCCATCACTTCTGCTCGAAGTTCCTCGTGCTAACAATGGACAGCTGCACGGCCCGTCGGACTCGTGGAGCGGCCTTCACATGGGTACTGAATTAACCACAATACAGTTCTCATATCATTCATTACGTACCTCGATTCTGCGCTCCAAGCAGATATGTCTGCCAGCACAACCTTACGTTGATTACGACTGCCTCGAGTCAGCTCGAATGGCCATGTCTACTTTACACAGCATCCAAGAAGCCGCTTTGACGCTTACAGATGTTCGATCGCATGTAGCCTACATGCACTGGTGAGCATTCATTTGGATTCCATGATCTCTGAGCAATGATCTGACTGCCTGCCCCAGGACTGTACTCTATCACCCCCTGACACCATTTTTCGTCCTATTCTGCAATGTTGTGGCGACCTCGGACCCCAATGACTTCTACACACTCAAGCGCGTCACAGATGAACTTGAGGGTCTTGTCGAGCTCTCGACATCGATCGCGAAATTGCAGACGCTGTTCAAGTCCTTCATCGAGCTTTGCGAAGGCCTAGTGTCCCAGAAGCGACAGAGAACCATTCCCGCCAACGTTGAAGCAGACTTTCAGACACCTCAAGCGCCGCAAGTGCCTCTTGCAACCTCGCAGGCACCAGATTGTGCTCCAAACATGACGGTATTAGCCAACACAGGCGATACCTGTGGCCTCTCACAACCAACATCTGCCCCATTTGTCACACCTGAAAACGAGCTCACGTTCACATCCGGCGGTACATCCGGCGGTACACCCAGTGGCTTGAATCCCGGATGGGGATTATTCGATGTTCAACCCACGCTCGACTGGCTCGACACTGACTTCTCATTCTTTGACCACGAACAATATCAGCAATGGTGAAGCTGCGTTCTAAGTGTACTCATTGCCAACAGAATCTACCCATCGTTGGATCCGGAAAATCAGGAGAGTAGAAGGTCCGGCCCAGCTTGAGCGTGGCGACTTCGTCACCAGTGGCTCAGTATCTTGGCAAAGCGATAACATTCGGCCTAGTGATGACAACACACCCAACCGCATGGTAAGACCCTACACTCAGCCATAAGTCAAATTACCGACCAATTTCGCTCGTTCTTTCGTTCCGGACCAGGCAGTGTAGCGAGCGGAGGCACGAAGTCTTGGCTTCCCGACTAAAAATAGTCGGCGCATCACGGCGACGAAACCACCAAACCGACATGAAGAGGATTACATGATGTTAACAGTATATTTAGAGATGGCGGTACGCAAGATTGATGGCACCTAAACAAGGCTTCCGAACCGCATCACCATTTACTCCGCGCTGGTCATCTCACCTTCGTCAGACTTCGAATCACGTACACTTACCTTCACCTGCAGCGATGGACATTCAAATCCAAATCCAAAACGAATCACAGACATACTCAAATGGCGATTCTATCATAGGGAGAGTCAAAATCTACTGTTCGCAGCCAACAACAATAAAGAAACTCACAACGACTCTCATTGGCGAAAGCTCGTCATCATTGATAAGTGTTCCATGGACATTGTTCTTACGCCGGGACGAAGAGACGCACACCTTCCTACGCGAAGAGCACCGTATCGTTCCATCATCCCTCAAACCGAAACTCCACGGAACACAGTCGATCCGACTCGATGTCGGCTGTCACAGCTTCGACTTCCGGCTACGAGTACCGTGGGTCCAAGATTGCTCGTTGTGTCCACCCAACACTTCCTACGAAGACGAGTATGGCTACGAAGTTACAGGGGAGAAATCAATACCGACGTTAATGCGACAGCTCCCACCTTCGACAAGCGATCTACAGAAGGGGAACAAAGTCGCCTATCGAGTCGACGTTGCTGTGACAACGATGCGCAACATGTTCAAGACTCGAACAATAAAGGTATGTTGACTGTTTCATCTAGCACCTCACACCTAACGCCAGACAGAGCAGTCCAATCACAGTCTGGCCGATTGATGTAGAATCCGCTCACAACAGCCACGCTACATCACCAGTCGCAGCGGTCACTACGGCGCGAGCGACTATACTAAGTCCAAGCTCTTTGCCGCTCCCTTCGCAATTGCAGGTAGAATATGTTCTCGGTCTCTCCCCAGCTAAAATTCTGATCAATGCGACATTTCAGCCAGACTTTCAACTTGTCAAGACTCTTGGTGCCGATGGCAAGCGAAGAGTCAAGATGGATCTTTCGGTCACAAAGCTCAACGAACACCCGCAAAAGCTGTACCTACAGTCTTTTCAAATGCTGCTCGTAGGCTACACCAACATTCGCGCTGGTGCGGCTACTCACGGACATTTGTCATTCTGGACCCTGCAATCGCTCAGCAATATCGGTCTTCAGGTTTTTACTGCGTCTGACGCATCCGGAGCGAAGCGTACGATTGATTCCAAACTTTGGGATGGCATCACTCTCGACGATAGTGTGGTGCCACACTTTGCGACCTGCAATCTGGAGCGAAGATATAAGCTCGAAGTCTTGATGGGCTGGCAGTGCCAAAGTGGCGAGCACGCTGGAAGGGTGTTCTTTGTGCAAGCGAGAACGCCAGTGCGCATCTCTTCTGGCATTCAACGCAGTAGACAGAGCGCGAAGTCTGAAGCTTGGACTGAGGATGATCTGGCTGTAAATGCGGATTTTGAGATGTCGCAATCGCTGAGAAGCGAGGGGTCGTGCGCCAGATACTCCGCGCCACCAACGTATGATGAAGTTGTCAAACATCAGTCAATAGTGGGCTGAAAGGATTTGAGATGAGAAACGCAGATGACGGCGACGTCTACCAAAATCTGATGTACCAGTTAATCCGACGCAAAAGTCCTTCGATCCCAGCTGCGACTTCCGGGGGTGCAGATCGGCCTACAACAATAAAGCCTGTCAGCGCAAATTCGTATCATTATCCAGTCAAGCTTCAGTAAGAATTAGACGGGGAAGTTAAGGTTGCAATGATTATTCACCTTCCCAACTAGCACGACACCAGCGTTGAGCCCTTATCTCGGCTGCAGTTATGATTCCCCGTGTTACTTCAAAACCCCAATGATACCACAAAATTACCTTCTTTACCAATTGTTGTTGTTTCCTTGTCGCACTCACCTTCCAATGATGTAATGTGATTTTAAAAGCGAGGCGTGAAGCGCGATAGCTCACCGCTAGTGTTACTGTTGTACAAGTTGCAAGCCCGCAAGGCTGAGTGATTGGATTTTATCTTGCAGATTTGTTGCAGCTGAGCTCTAGACTAAGCCTGGCTGATCTGTCTCCAGCCATGATAATAGATGGCACGACTGGCGAGCCGCTCCTTCGGTTTCCGAGTTACATGCAGCTTCTAACACCATGCCACTGCAGCGGAGTACCTGGAAGGCGCGAGGCTGTGTCTGATATGCAAAGCTTATGAGGCCTTTTCGAGTGCGTCGAAGGGGCACCACTTCCTCGACGCGTGGGGCGACAGTGGACGAGGCGGCTGTCTGATGACCAGAGAGCACGTCGTGGTATCAATTCTCATCTTGGGAGTCATGAGCGATTGATCAACGCTGGTGGCTGAGGTGCAGCTAGCAGCAGGTCGATACCCTCATCTCATGCAGAATGATGCCTAAGCAAATGGTTGACAAGGACACTGATGCGAGCCTACTTACTGCTAGATAATTAACGCTCTCTTTGCCGCCTCCCCTTCTTATGCAGCGTGCTTCGAGATAGATCTATACTTTAGATCTCTATACGGTCGTCCATTCAGAGTGCTCGCTGGGAATGGATGACGGAACACAAAGCATCTACACGAAGCGTTTAGTGGTGGTTGGCCCTGCCTACGCTGAGCCGGTCAAAGAATCTATGCGACTTGGGACAAGGACTTGCCTCATCTATTATCTCATCCTTTAATCAACTACCCTTGCCACTTTGATTGAGACAGCCACTACCGCGATGGCAGAAAACATTAATTCCAAGATTAGCCACCAGCAGCGGTGAGGTTCCTCACGCGACTAAGACGCATTGGTGCGATTCGTACATTTCCTAGTGGTGCGTCTTATGGTGTGCGCTAGCATACCGGAAGGGCAATGCCACCGCAACGGCGCTAGGGCTGTACTTGTATAAGTCTTGGTTTGCCTCTTCCCGTGTATGTCGTTTATGCAGGAGGCGGCTGGCAACGGGAGATCCGCGTGCTAGACCTATGTGGACCCATATAGCGACAATCGCTAAGCGTTCCCAAGACTATGCACGCAAGATAGCTGCAGATCGCTAAGCGGTGCGCTGTATGCCACTTGCTGCAAGCGCTCAGCCGGTTTACACGACTTTAGGAGACGTGCAAGACAGGTTTCGGCGAGCAGCGCTAGGCAATAAGGAATATTATTGCAAACCTGCAGCGGAAATATTTCAAATGTACATCGGCAAGTGTTGGGTAGACCGCTTTATCGAGCGTTATTATACGCACCTTGCCTCTTGAGGGACAGAAACAGGCTCTAGCCGCCACAAAGCTAATTCCGCGTTCTATTATAACCTCTTTTTCGAGCTCCTTGACCGCGAGTTGGAGCCGTCCGGCGTCGAACCGCACAACATATACACTATGAGTGAGAAGGGATTTCTAATTAGCCTGCTGTTAAGTATGAAGCGCATGTTTAGCAGACACCGAGATGAGGCTAGAGAGATGAAGGGAATGCTTTAAAATGGCAATCGCGATTGGATTACACTAGTGGCTTGCATCTGCGCTGATGGCTCAGCGCTCTCGCCTTCTCTTATCTACTAGGCCGCGTCTGGCATGGTTGCAAAACTTCGATTCTTCACTGCATCACTGCTTCTTCATGTCATCGCCAATTATGGATGAACAAAGATATAGGACTTGCCTAATCGAAGCAAGTATTCGATCCCGAGACTAAAGTGAAAGCACGAAGACATTGGCGGCTCCTTATGCTTGACGGTCATGGCAACCATGTGAATATTGAGTTCACTAAGTGCTGTGACGTTTACAAGCTACTCCTGTTATCTATCTGCTGCATAGTACTCGTACACATCAGGCGCTGGATGTGACGATGTTTGCTCTGCCCACTTGCAGGCGCTTACAGTCGCGCACTCGCTGACTACCTTGGCAAGTGTCAAGTGCTCTCATCCATCACAATGCGCGACTTCTTTGACCAACTCTATATCCTATGGGAGGTCTCATTAACTAAAAAGAGCATACTCAATTCGTTTGAGTACAGAGGCCTCTCGCCCTTTGATCCGCCTAGAGTACTTAGTAGTTCGAGCCAAGGAGGTCTCTAGACTTTCTACTACAAATAGCAGTACCTCTGTACTCAGCACGAGCGATTGGGGGAATATGGAGTGATTGCTGCGCATCGTCGTGGAAAATGCGCACAATGCGCATGCTAGGAAGCTGTCGCAGACGATCTATGCTCGTGATTCTTGAGCCTATTGGTCTTGATGGCTTTGCGTAAGCTTTGTGACTTCTCCTAAGATCTAGCGTAGTACTGACCATCACAGATGGACATGCATGGGACCACCACAAACACATTAGATCGTAGCCATGGTACGCTTTTTGACCCATACGTAGATCAGTTTATCATTAACAATCATAGATTTTTTCGATCCCTGTTGGTCTCGTTAACTTCGCCAAGTTCTATTTATCTGTCAATTACATAATCACGACCCACAGTCCATACTACGCCTCTACTACAGTCGGTAACGCATCCACTTACAACTTCCTCGCTAGTGTATCCACCATGTACGCGGCACCTTTTTACCACAGCCTCGGCTAAGCGCGCCTATCAGAGCTAGTTACAATAAAACTTGCATGACTGTCTTGCTTAGTTGTTGTACTAGTTTACGTCTATTATAAGGTTCAAGAGATCAGAAACGCAAGTAAGTTCGCTTTAATCCTTGCGGACGATAGGAAGGCGGAGAATATCAGGCGTCTCAGCAAAGCAGAGAGTCTCCCAGCGTAAACATGCCAATCACATCCATATGCAGGATTGACGGCTTGAGGGCGCCTCTTACGAAAAGTATTGGATCATTGATCCTATTTTACACTGCTGTCTACAGAAGTATTGCACCTCAGTCGAAAATGTAACCATATTATATTCTATATTACGTTGTTCCTTCCATGAGTATTCAGCATCGACTGACATAGCCTCAATATCACCGCTTCGCCAGACAAAACCTGATGCTTGTTCCGCACAGGAACCACAGGAAGCCGAAGAAGCGGATCAACGACAGGACTGCAGTCGCGTACAGCAAGATCCTGAAGTACATTGGTGTACGGGTCTTGTCTGCATTCTAAGATATGTCAGCGAAGCTCTAAAGCTCGTATTGCACAGCAGACTTACCCCCAGTCCCACCATACTAAAGTCATCGGTCGTCACCACCAAAATCAGGACGATGTTCGACAACAGCCACGAGTACGTCAATCCAGTCCTGAAACTCTTGTACGAATCTTCTGTATCCTTCGTCTCCGGCTTTCCATCATCTGCCAGGATCGGTGTCAGGGCTCGTCTCACCACCTTCTCAAACTTGCTATCAATATCTTCTTGCTCTTGCTCGATCTCCTCAACAGTAGCCTCCTTCTCACCAGCTACAATTTGCGCCGAAGGCAAGCTTTCAGCGACATCAGATCCCTTGGTACCCCAACTCACATCATGCCAGTTGTTGAACGCATACACCATCAGAATGTTGATGTACGTGCTCATAAGAACCAGGTACTGCGGGAAAGAATGGAACATGTGCCAAGGGTCGAGGTACAAGAACGAAGCGGCAAAGTTGAGGCCGTAGATCGTGATGAGCGCGATAAGAATCAGACCAGCAACTCCAGTCTTGCCGCCGAAGAAGCTGTCGAAGAACTCTTTGCCGGAAGCAAGCGAGATCTGGTCCTCGATAGGCTTCGTGCTGAAAGCGCGGTAGACAAGGTAGATCGTGAGGACCAGGATGTAAAGCTGGATGGCGCCGAAGACGACGAAAGAGGCCTTGTAGGTCTTCTTGGATCCTTTGGGGCGATTACCGAGTGCGAGAATGAATTGCAGTATCAAGAAGGCAACGTAAATATAGCCAATTACTACGTTGAAGACGGGTGTGACTTTGTCACCGAAGGGCCAGCCATGGTAGTCTGCTTCTTTTTGAGGCGTGCCGACCAGGGTCATGATAACAACCGTGGTCAGATAGTATGATGCCAACGAGAACCAGGTAAACAGTACCTGAGCGAAGTTGTACAGGAGCTGGATATGCAGGAAGAAGAGCCGGATGATACCATGGCCTGAGGAATAGAGACGTCCGAAATGCATGATGGAGTAGAGCGACGCAGCGAATGATCCGTTCAGCCACCGCCGACGTTGACCAATAAATTCTGCTGCGCCTTCAGGCACATCAGTTTCACCCTTCGAAGCTGCATCTCATTAGCACGTGGTCAGCTGGTTGCGCAGTGTCAACGTACCTTTGACATACGACAGGTGCCACTTTGACCCTGCCTTAGCCACGAGCTCAAAACACAGTATGCGATCCTCTGCAAGGAACATGTTTTTCTTGAAAATGTTCATCCCGTCAATACCCTTCTTACCAAGTCCCTTTGACAGTGTATGATCACCATGGAAGTATTGTTCGAGGGGTCTTCCCATGATTGCACGAAATCGATATGCGGAGAACGCTCCAGGAAGCACACTCACATAGCCAAAAGCACTTTCAAGAGGTTTGTCTAGGACGTTCGAGATCTTATACTCGAAGTTCTGCACGGCGACCAGTGGGTTCAGAAGAGCTCGGCCGCCCTTGCCCAGCATTGCGTGGATCTCGCCGCAGGCACCTCCCAGGTCTTTATCATTGTAGAAGGCTTCCCATAATGACAATAGCGAGCGAGGGCCTGGTTTAGTACCAGCATCGATGAGGATCGCAACTTCTGGATTCAGGATCCTGCCGAATGCATTGAAGAGCCAGCGATGTGAGTTGATCTTTTTGCTGTTCTTCTGTTTGAGACAAAAGACGAACTGTACTGGCGGCAAGTTGTCGGACCCCTTGCCAGCACCGGGTCGGACGAGCTGATGCTCCGGCGTAACCGAGATCTGGCTGGTGTACTCGAAGATGTGTGCGACTGTCTCTTTGCCATTGACGTCTTTCTTAAGAATTCCATCTTGGTAGATGCCAACTGTGGCGAGAACGTCGAAGACACTCATATCAACATTGTCGATACCATCGAAGACAAGACACACCACGATCTTCTGCCATGCAGGCCCACCTTTATCCCAGAATTGTGATTTCTTCAAGTTAACGATATCTCTGATGTTCTTCATTGTGCCGTGCAGCGTCCGTGCGAGAAGCGTCTTGTCTTCGTTGTAGTAGGTAATGGCAATCAGAAGCTCGGTATGGCGATTGTACATTCGTGCACGCAGATTGTATCCGTTTGCCAGCGTGAAATCGTTTGGATCGCAGGTAGCTGCAGTGTAGCGTAGCTGGGTAAATTCTTCCTCATCTATTCCTTCCGCGTTGCGATAGCGAGGTTCGACAGCATTCTGGACAGCACTAGGGACAGGGTAGTTCGCAGAGAGAACTGATCCCTGCACGAGCTTCACTTTGCGAGTCCTTGAGCGCTTCACACCGTTGCCCTCTGGGGCAGACTGTTGCTGCCGCTGTACCCAGTCATCGATAGTCTCTACTGGGTTCGACGAGAAGCCTCCTTGTAATGTAGCGTGGCGATCGTATGGATTGGAAGGTTCGTAGCCATCGTGGCTTCTTGTAACTGTGTCGGGCATGTGCGTTCCGGCCGCGTTGGGGGCGTACGTCTCTGTCAAACTGTAAACAGAAGACGGCGCTTTGGGGTGGTTCGTTCTTTCATCGTGAGACGGGGTTTCGAACTGTGTTGGGTATTCAGACACAGGCGCACTTGTCAAGAGACGTTCGTTGGCATCGATTTGTTCGGGAAGATAGTGATACTGATCAGAGGTGTCAGTAAGGCGGTATCGGACAACAGCACGAACACAGCGACTTACAGATCGAGCAGAAGCGATGTCTTGCATATCATAACCCTGATTCTCAAAGGGGTCATTACGACCGGAAGTCATGATTGAATATGGACGATAAAGAAAGGCAAGATGCTGAAGTGCAGGCGCTGGATTCTTGGATAACTAGACTGCCGAAGATCGATAAAACGATCAGACGACCAGACAGATGCAAGATGACCGGATATTTGAGGGAAGAAGAGAGGTACTGGAGGAGTACCTTCTAATGTCGATCAATTGTGATGTATCCCTGCAGAGCACTCACTACCCAAGCTTTAGGGGGTCTCGACGCACGTACTCGAGATGCAACATTAGCTTCAGTGCCATAAAATGACTTCTTCGCAGCTGAGAGATAACATACTGAGATGCCAGCACCGTCGCACTTGATGTTAGTGGGGTGGGGCAAATAGGCTGAAGCCACAATGCGCGAATCTGGAAGTAAATCTCACTTCTCTTGCACCCTGCCAGAGGTTCATTGCGGAGTTTTCGAGATCGTGTATTGCGTCTGGTTACTGTAGTCTTGGATCGATTGCGCGGCATGCGCCTTGGGTTGATGAGTCGGTCTCGGTGAACCCACACCGGCTGAAGATACTCGGAGCCGACTAAAAATAGATCGTTTTACCAATGATGAAAGCAATGCTCTTTGGACACCGCACTTTTGTTGTATTTTCCATCCATGCGCAGTATATAATAGCCACGCTTGTCGAAGCAGGTGTACTAGAAGCTCAGCGGGTTGGGAAGCTGAGATCTCGCTTTAAGACATGCTGTGCGCTGGACCAATCCTAGCATGTACAAGCCTGACATCCTTGGAGTCTCCCTGTGCATTTGGACGATGCTGAGGAACGCAGTATCACCAGATGCTTGCGTGAGCTTGCGCGTCGTCCTATCAAGACCTATTAGCGGCAGACCCTACGACTGAGTCATCTGTACGACGATCGTTGGCGCTATCAACGCGACCAGGAACCATCATTTTATTTATCTTCAAGGCCATACTCTTCTGTACTGAAGCCACTGATCGCTCAAACAAGAGGCGGGCCAAGAAGAAATGACGCATTGACTCGTCGGAATCCATCAGCCTTCGAACAGCGTGTGCCGCCTTCCATTGCGTCCACTATACTGCTGACCATTGCGTTCATCGAGTGCTGGGGCGGCCAGTCATCATGCGTGGGCGACGGTCCAGTGCACTCTAAGTAAGCCTTTAGGTTATCGCTAATAGACTAATAACAGCGCTTATTACATCTTCGCTGTTTGCTAAGAATCTTAAGAAGGTTAATCACTTAGTCTCTTTAGTAGTGATCAAGCCTATTTCGAAATAAATCTCCTTAATTTAAGCTTTTAATCGCCACGTATAAGCTCTCAGGAATACACTGTAGCGAGATTACGTTACTAAGCCTCTAGAGCACTCCTGTCGTATAGATCCTAGCTAGAGAAAGGTCGCGTACTAATAACCGACAGTGCTTAATCAAAGTTAATTCTCTATTAGGTAGAGGTGCACATATTTATAGAGAATTCTCCTTAAGAAAGTTAAACACATTATGTTTTAGCTTGTCTGCTCCGCAGAAATTTGCAAGTAACTCGCTATTAGCAATACAGAGAGCTAGTATACTTAAGCTTAGACTCTTTCTCTTAAACTTCTCTTCTATTATTATAAGTTAAATATTATAAGTATAGATATTTGCAATAATTAGTAAAAGATTAGTATAGTACTTTAATTTACGTCTATTAAGGTTCTTAAGAGTTCTAATTATTATTAACTTCTTAGCGTTAATTACTCTAGCGTACTAGTATCTATAAAGAATATAGTACTTTACTATCTTCTCTAAAACTTCTATAGACTATTTAATAACTCTAGAGTTTTTTCTTATAGTATTATAGTAAGCTAAGCAGAATAGCGTAGTATACGTTTTAAGTTTATCTAACCTAACTACAACTTCGCCTTATAATAATCTTAACTTTACTTTATAATAATCTTAACTTCTTATATATAAGTAGTTTCTAAAGTCTATAAGTATACTAGATTATAAGCTATATTCTTTTGCTAGCTCTTATTAGCCTTATTATATCTTATAGTATTAGTAGATCTATCTATCTTATTAGCACGCGCCTATCTTATTAGAGCGCGTCTATCTATCTTATTAGCGCGCGCCTAACTCTCTTATTAGCACGCGCCTATTATATTAGTACGCGCTTATCTTATTAGTACGCGTCTATCTTATTAGCGCGCGCCTATCTCTCTTATTAGCACGCGCCTATCTACTTACTATATAATTATCTATAAGTTACTTTTATCTATTCTATTATTAAGTAATAGGTTACGTACGTAACGTATCTACGTAACTATATCTTAGCTTACTATACGCCTACCTCTACTCTTAGCTATATTATACTATTCTTACTATAGATAAGAGGTTATCTATATTACTATAAATACATGCAACGCCTATAAAGATCTACTTTATTATAGTTATAATAGTAAATATATTAAGAGTAAGAGAAAGTAGTAGTGCGAGTAGTATATAGAGAGAGATAGAAAAAGACGCAAAAAAGGCTAGGTAATCTAGAGAATATATATTAAAAACCTTTTGTTAAGAAGAGTATATTATACTAAGTGCAAAAGAGTTAAAGAGACTAATAGGTTTCGCTATCTTCTAAGAGCAGATCTAGATAGAAATAAATATAAATAGCTACCTCTTCTATCTAAAGAAACTAAATCTAATAACTATAGCCTCTCTAGGTACACTAATAGCAATATATAAAGCTTTCTATATACCTTTAATTAAGCATAACCTAAATAGCGCAAGTCTCTAGTAATCTATTAGCTAAGAAGAGTATAGTTTAAGCTATTAGAATATTAAAGAAATAAGTATAGTAGGTAGTATAGAGAATAATATAGATAGTAGCTCTAACGCTACTAAGTAGACGCTTAGTAATACTCTTTACTTAGACTATACGTTCTATATCTCTTAGCTTATAAATAAGATTCTTAAGATTATTAAAGCTTCTTCTAGAATATTAGAGAAGTTTAGTTTATTACTATAATACTATAAAGAGTATCTTTATATTTATAACTATTATAATAGTTATAATAAATTCTATACACTAATAGCTATCTTTAGAAAAGACTATTTTTAAGAGTAATATAGATTTAATCTTCTAGATAATATAGAGCTTAAATACCTATATAATAGCACTACTATATAAGTTCTATATACTTCTATAGACTAGCTCTAACTAGTAATAAGAAGTAGTATTAGTCTTTCTAATATTCTCTATATATATATATATATCTAAAGAAGAGTAGATAGTATAAAGAACTATAGAGAATTTTATTAAAGAGCTCTAAGAATAAATATATATAAAATTAAAGTATTAGCGATTTTTAAGTTATATAAAAGACAAACTCTACTAGATTAGTAGCTAGAAGAAATATAAAGTATTAGGTTATATATTTATTAAAGACTTTTACGCTTGCTTAGACTAGAAACGTAATACTATATCTACTTAGTACCTTTCTATAGTAGGCTTTCTACTATATAATTTTCTTAATATTTTAGAATCTAAGCTTAAATTTTATTATTAGCTACTAGTACTTAATAATCTTAACTTTTATTTACTAGGTTGCGCTATTAATAGAGTCTATACTAACTATTACTATAGTTTAAAAGTACTAGAAAAAGAGTATCTTACGTTCTATCTAATATTAGATCTATAATATATTAACTTAGAGTTATATCTTAGATTTATACTCTTTTGTAAGAGAAGTATAGCTTCTAGTTACTATATAGATATACTTAATAAGACGTACGTATTAGTAGTATCTAGCTTTAAGTTATAGTTTATACTAAGTTAACTATTAAGTAAATAAGAAATAAGAGAGTTTAGAGAAGAAGAGTCTAGTTAGAATCTCTTTATAGATCTTTTTAAGATAGTGCTAATATATCTAGAGAATATACTAATTATAAGGCCTAGATATTTTATTCTATATTTTATACTTACTAGTAAGAACTTACTAATAATAGAGAAGAATAGAATAGACTACTAACTATATACTATTAGTTCTAAACTAGCTCTAGTTTATTATTCTATAATATAACTTAATAAATAAACTAGTTTCTAGATAGTTAGCCTAAGTTCTTAACGCCTTATCTTCTCTAGCTCTAGAGTATATAGATTACGTTAATACATCTATTGCGTAGCTTAAAGAGAAGAAACTACTCTACTATACTTACGTTAGAAAATATATAGGCTAATACACGTGTCTTTAATTAAAGGCAACCTATTAAGGTTACACTTCTTAGTGTTATAATAGCGAGGTATTAGAATATTGCACGTTGTAAATATGTTATTAAGGATGTATAACGCGATGTTATAACTAACTTACTAAAGTTGCGCTACTATACATTGTGCAAAACTATCTATCTTTGTAGAGGTTTCTTAAGGCATCGCTTCTAGTCTATCAAAGCGTGCTTCTGTGCACGCTTTACTCTTCGAATAGCACGAAGCTATTAAGACCTACGACTTCGTATGTCTAGTTCGTTGTTCACATGTAAACATATGCAGTCGCATATTTACAGCTATATCTCTATGTCGACTAAGTATCTTGTATTCGACGTGCTAGATAATAGCAGCTCCGTTCCAAGTAAGCTCCTGCACGTCATCACCAACAGTCGTGCGCGCCAGTCGAGGGCCAAGTGGCTAGTGACAGGCCAACAAAGGGCGGTCATAAGCAAGACCACAGCTGCGGATAAGTCATGGAAGGCTAGAATTTGCTCTTTGTATTTGCAATTCGTCGTTTCAAGGATCCGTGTTGGTAGGATTCAACATCCTATACACTTTGGCGCCCGTAACATGCTTCTGAAAGTTCCGCGAGTTGTTACAACTTAACCTACAGTCTTGTACCCGAATCGTCTATAGAATTCCACAGCTTCAGGCGAGGCCATCACAAAACTCGTTCTACCATAGCGATCTGCTTGCTCACAACCCCATGCTAAAAGCATAGATCCGTATCCTCGACGTTAATGCGCTAGGCTCAATGGCAGCACGTTAAGTCCTAAGTAGTTTGT